ATCCGGTAGTCTTCCTCCACCGTGTGTGTATATATGTACGGCTCGCGTAATCCGAAAGACAAATCGCGACCGCGTCGAGGCCACTTTGGAGATGTTTGTGTTATGGATTTTCGAGTGTTTCGGGTCGGCGGAGGTGGCCCTACAGGATTTGTCGGCGGGGTTTTATTTTTTTTTATTACAGATCGTGTGTATATATATAATATATTATATAATATCGTACTATACGCGCACAGTGTCACCGCGCTTTCACCATGTTTTCCTTCGCCCGCGAGAATATATATTATTATATTATTATTGCTGCTGCCGCTGACCGCAACCCGGGAAAACCGATTCCAGATGATAATGGGGCGCGAGGAGAAAAAAAGAACCGCGCCTTCTGGTCGTCGTCGTCGTTATATCCACGAGTGAGGTCCGAACACGCCCGCGCCGAACACCCAGTCGCTTACGACGTTTTTTACTCGTCTAAATAATATACGCATTATCCGACGCTGTCCGGAACTTATATAATAATAATAATAATAATAATAATATAATACAGTGAAATAAACGCCCGCAAAGCTCGACCGCTGTTGTAGCCGTTGTTGTACATGAATAATTATTCGTATCAATTAGCGTTAGTTCCGAGCGAACGTTTATAATAAATACGGTTTAATTATTGCAGTCTTAGGTTTCACGTATTATAATTATATTGTTATTATAATGTATATGGCGGTAATAAAGTTCTCAACGTTGTCTACTGTAGTTCTAATGCACAGGTATATACGATTATCGATACATATTTTACCATCAGACGAATTTTTTATCAAATTAACCTAACCTATACAGCTGTTATGTGAACAATATTTTAAACGTTCTCTATTTTCTTTAATATACGCTTATACAATACCCTACGAGTATATAATATTATATTATACACTAAACATACACTGCCTTTAGTATTGACCAATACAAAATTGAAAATATACACTCAACACTTTTCGACCCGTACACATTATTACTTACTATTAAAATAACACACGGTAGTTAGTTGAACAGTAACCATAAAGAGGAGTGAATTCACCTATATACACTTATTTTAACAGCTTTAAATTTTCATATTTGGTAAAGTATTATTTTAGATATAATAATCATTACAGATCTATAAACCAAACGTGTCTTATTATTGACAAAATACCTCATACACAGTCTCTAACCCCCAGCTACTGAAAACTTATATCCCATACGCGGAATAAAAAACCTTCTCTGGATAACTAATATCGTAACCAGGTTCTCCGACCACGTTGAATGGGAATGGTCAACTAATTTAAAAAAAAATGTTTTTCTGTCTATTAGATGTCGGTGTCGTCTCGTTGGAATACAATTAAATGATAATATGTATTATCGCTACATCTTAGTGCTTCAACTCGTGTTATCTTTCGCGAAAGTAAAAACCAATTATTGTTATGGAAAACAAACGTAAATTTCGATTTGTCTCTTAATACACTGCATGCAAGAGCGTATAATAATAATAGTGCATGTATAGTCACACTTAACCGTCGTGAAAAATTAGCGAAACGTGCACTTATTTCGTCGTCGGCGGAAGTGGAACAAGTAAAAAGCAAAAAAAAACTCTATAGTGTACATAATATATATTATTATATAATACTATAGTTGGAACGGCGAAAAAAAAATTCCGAAGAGAAACTAGCGAGGAGAGAGCCCTATTCACGTTTATCAGTGACATTTTAAATAAATAGGTTCTTTTATCTCTTATATTGGTCTCGTGCGAGTGGACATTTTTCAGCCCAATGTTCGATAGTCGATCAGCGGCGTAAATTCAACGGTGGTCTTTAATCTTTTATAAATAATTTAAAAATTATTGCGTAACCGTAGTTGTATTGGAAATCTGAAATCTATTCCTATCAATTATTCATTGGATTCCGGTTCACAGGTAAAATAGTACACTCATGAAATGTATAATTAAAATATAAATCGTCCTTTCATTCGTCACGGTGCCCATAATAGCGAGACTGCAGAGTACGAACTGCGTTCGCTATCAATAATAAAACAATTTGTATTTTTTTTCGAAAATGATTTCCGCAGCAATTATAATAAATTAATATTGTATACTGTATGGGTGATGGACAATAGGTGTAGTCGTTTGGCAAACTGCAATTAACGAGAAGCTGGAAACCAACATTTCTATACCTACGGTATTTGACTGCAACTGTCTACAACTTAACTGTTCTAGTGACAGTAAAATAATATGATGATATTTCTTCTAACTGTATATTTAATGTTTTTTTTTCTTTTTTGGAATAATATTTACTAACGATCAGTGACCGAAATCGTGAAGAGTGAAGACGTTCAACACGTAATATTATAATTTTGAGACAATCGAACGGGATACGTTAGAATATTATTATAGTATTATTGTTTTGTTTATATTTTATTAACGACTGGCGGCAATTTTAAAGTGTGCAGGAATAAACAGTAAATATTTAAGCTACGATTTCGTGTGATTTAGAAGCTACGCTAACAACATTAAACGACCTTATATAAAATTAAAATTAAGTAAAGACTGAAAAACTAAATCTGCTTTATTTAAGTTATTATTTACAATTAATTATATATTTATATCTCATCTCCAACGTTTTTTGTTGTTGTTGTTGTTTTTTACGCAAAACCTAAATAGCCCTTTACATAATTAATATAATGTTGATACTGTTTGTGATACACTGACCATACTCACCACAATATTTATTCTTTTAGGACCAAAATTAGTTTATACAAATTATAATTTTTGGAACTTTCAAGTGTACCTACTTACTTAAAGACCATATTTTAATTTAGAGATTTTCATTTTTGTACACAATTAAATAAGTGGCAATGGGCGGCGGTAAAAATTATTTTTTTTTCGAATAAGACACATTTTCCTCTATAAATTGTTAATTGGATGACTTTTTTGAAAATGTTGATGTGTCTATTATATACATATATCTCAAAACTACTCGTTCGAATTTTGATTTAGGTACATCAATGTTTCAAATAAATCACCATCTTAATGATTTAATATAGTAAAACACTAGAATAAGTTAATTTTCTTAAATGTTGAAAATGGTCTAAATAATTTAAAACTTGAATACTTATGATTTTTTTTTTTTTTTTAAAGGAATGTTTGATGAATATAATATAACATTGCACGTGTTGTTTGTACTTATACAAAAAGGTTGTTGACTTTTATGAAAATCTAATTTTATTCTCTAACGGAAAGATCGGATAGAAAATAATTGCAGGAATATTTTTGCTACCCTCGACATACAGCTTTATAATATACTTAAAGTATTAGGACTAGTGAAACGTTTTTGTTTTATTTCCAGATGGGATGATTGCGATAGTAGGCGATAAATTATCAGTTTTGTTTCTATATATATATATATTATTAGCTAATTAAAATCTCTTTCAAAGTTATTACCAAGATTACTTTTCGTTCAAAATCGGTTTCAATATCGTAAAGACTTAAACAGTAAACCATATTATTATCACGACTATTGATTACCGATGATAATAATAATATAATCAAGGCTGGGCAAGTTAACGTTTTTTTTTAACTCGTTAAGTTAAGTTATTTTAAAATAATTAAGTTAAGTTAAGTCAAAAGTTACTCTTATTTTTTTTCGCTAACTCGTTAAGTTAAAAGTTAACTTTGAAAAAAAAGTAACTTAACTTAGTGTAAAGTTAAAATTTGTCTAATTTACAAAAATAAAAAAATCCAGACACATAATTTGGTTGATTAGATAGTTTTTCTTTACGTCCAAGAAAATGACTGTGGAAATTTAAAATGATATATCAATTTAAAAACACATTCAAAAATTTGCATTATTCTTGGGACGAAAATTAACTTAATTTAATTATTTTTGAAATAAAATTAACTTGAAGTTAACACGTTAATCTTGAAAAAAAGTAACTTATTAAATTAAAAGTTAACTTGAAAAAAAAAGTAACGAGTTGATTAACTTAATTAAAATTAACTTAACGTTTTAACTTAATTTTAATTTTTAACTCGTTAATGCCCAGCCTTGAATATAATATAGTGCAGATGTAATCGTATGGATTGCTATTTTTATATCAACCAAACTTATTAATTAGAATATTATGCCTAGTAGGTACAATGGTACATATAATAATATATCATGGTAAACTCGTGCTAGACGTTTAAACCAAGAATATTATAATATATAATAAATAATGATAATAATAATAATAATGTTGGTAATAATAATAACGATGATAATTTTTCGAGGGAGTTCAACAGCGCGCCGACAACGGTCACGAAATACGATTATATATTATACAAACACATACATTATACATGTATTTGAGGTATAATATACAACGACATAGTCGTGTGCGAAAACTTGCAACTCCTCTAAAAAGTTTTTTACGACCTTTGCGGCGGAAGAGCACGATAGCTAGGAGCTAAGAGGAGCGGAGTGGCAGCGGTGGCGGTGGCACGAGTATCGCAGCCTAACACCCTCCAACTAACCACCCTCCCCTCCGGGACGACTACCCCCCCTCGGCCACAAACGCACATAATTCGTACGAATTTTTTCGCCCGAAAAAAATAAAAACGGCAAACGCGCTCTCTGCGTCTGGTTCAACGGACCGAAACGGACTCGGCGGCCGTGGTTTATCTCCAGTGCGCGATAAACAAGCGGTCGCTGGTGCATGATGGCCGGCGATAATTTCGTTTCGGTCCCGGACAATTATTGCGTTGGCAATGAATCACCACCGCCGCCGCCGAACCGAGCCGACCAAAGGTTTTCTGCGTGTACGTAGCTATATTATTATCGCAAAGTATATGGCGTGAGTGGAGGGCGGAGGAGAGAAAACTGCACACACACACACACACACGCACGCACGAGGATACTGCGCAAAGTATATATAAAACATAGTGTTTGTATATTACCACGCTTACGAAATCGTACATATAAACACACACACACACACATATAATATATATGTACATCTACGGGGGCCTGACCTCCTCCTTTTCCCTTCGGTTTCAGTCGGCGGCGGCTGCAGACGACGAACGCAACGGTTACGGGAACGGTGCCAAACAACTGCGACTGTTGAGCCCTGTCTGTCCACCACCTCTCCGAGCCACACACCACCAGCCATTACCGCGGGCACTCCGACGATACCGCCCCTCCTCCCCGTCGTGCCTCGACGGCGGTGAAATACAACTACCAGGCTGTGCTACCACGCCGCCTGTATACCTAGTTGGTATCTGTGTGGTGCACCCTCGCGAGCGGAGACGGTCGAAGGTGGTCGCCGATGGATTGTGCGGTGGTGGCGAGGGTGGGGGTGGTGGTTGGAGGCAGCGACGTTTCGCCGGAGCACAAGGTTTTATGGGCATCCGCCACCACCGCCGCCGCTGCGCCGACATACGACGATCGCTCGCGCCAGGGACTCGATCTGGGTGCCGTGCCAACAAAACCACCCTCTCCGTCCAGTGCGACACTAATGGCGGCTTCTGCAGCGGATACCAGTCCGCCACGCCCGGCCAGAGCATCATCCCCTACGCCGCCGATGACGACGGCCGGTGAGGAGCGTTTTTGAGATAAAAGAAATTCCGGCCGATCGTCGCGCAATAACAATTTAACGACATACAAACCTACCTATATATATATATATATACACGTCGTGTATAATATTGTTATACACCGCTCGTGGTACACGCGAGAGACGGGGAGAACTCGCGATTTGGCGGCGTTTCAGAACGACGACGATGTCCGTCACGGATGATGGCGTAAGTAGGTATATTATATATATATACGCTGCCTGCACAGACATAGCCCGCCATACAGCGAACACGATGGTATTTCTATGATGGCGAGCGGTGAGTTGCATAACCGGTCGATATAATATTATATTATATTTATATAATTATATAGGTACTCGTCGCGACATGGTGTTATTCAGCTACACTCCGACGTCTACAGATCTGCAATCCCGTTTTAGTATGAGTGTATTTTTTGGACGACCGGTCTAATATTTCCATTAGCAGGCCAACACTGTTCCGGTATATACCTCCACTGCGATCTATAGAACAACACTATACAGTATACACACGCAGTGCTATCCACCCGCGCAGACGTCTTTACACTTATATTATTATTATTTCGGTTTCCACCGATCGAACCACCATAATATTAACACTCCGCCTACCATATGATACCCACCGATCCACACTAGGTCAGATATAGTTTCGCATACGATGTGACAAAATGATACTCGTGAGTTTACGTGTTAAAACAGGTGTGCAAGACTTTATGCAGTAATCGTTTTACACCGCCATGAGACTTTCTAAATCTTAGTAAAAATGTGTGACCCGAGACATTGTTATACTACAACGTTGGACTTAGCTGCCAGACATGGAACGTTTTTTCACTAATATACATCACCGAGTGATATTTATATTTTAAATCGTACTTTCGTACCACTGTATGCGAGTACTTTCACAACGAGTGAGGCTTCCAGGAGGGTAGCTGCTGATGATACGTACAAGTTTGAATTTTCGAGAAACAATTATTGCTTTTCTATAATACATAGAATATATATATATATATAGGTACCATGTATTATTATAATGGGGTTTCAGTATAAATTGAGACGTAAGATTTGGAGTACCATTTGTTTTGCGTTTCACCATCGGTTACTTGACTTTCTTTTGTGTTCTAGAAAAGGGTTGACAGAAAAAACTCAGTTTATACGCTCACTTAATATAACATTAAGTGGTATATCCCATTTTTTTCTTTTTTCTTCGATATAAATAAAAGTTAATTACAGTTATTGCTTTGGACGGATTTATGTAAATGCATTTTTTTGTATTGCAATTTATTTTGTAATTGCGTTGTTTTGAAAAGTGGAGCGCAATAAGTGAGTGATATATTAATAATATTCTTGATAGATATAATACATGATATTCTTATTTAAAAATCAGAAAAAATACAAATATTCTACTGGACATTATAATAATTTTAATCGTTTTTTTTTTTTTTTTTTATCGTTACACTTTATGTTTTATATTCCAAGAAGTCATAATCGTATTATTGTTCATCTACAAGACTAATTACGAATTAATTACAATTTTAATATGATGAACAAATTCAACAATAATATAAACTATTATGTAATATTATAATAGTTGATAAAAATTACTTATTTTGTAGACAATATTCAACACTGTTCAAAAGCATTGTACCTAACATTATCCCAGTTTGCAGTCTTTGCTTCAATTAATGTTTATGTGTAACGGTGCCACGATGGCACGCATTATATCTGTTGAGCATCGTCGACGTTAATAATAAAACAATAGCTGGCGTCTCAAACGATGACAATCGGGGCCAACAGATGGCGTTTTACACTCGTTTGTGAACATAAATATTAATAATTATTGTTTGAAAGTAATATTATCGATAAATATAATTCTGTTTAACCCGAACGTTTACGTTCATTATACCTACACTTAATTATTTTTCGATATTTATATTATTTATCTCGGTAGTTTAAACAGGTAATTTAAAACCTTAACCGTTTTTAATAAATGTACAGCAGTCGATCACGTTGGATCTCTGAGCATAATTATTATGTTATATCATATTATTTGCTTATATTATATATATTTATATACTTACACGGTTGTTGCGGCATCGATATGCTTGCGATAATGTGTTTCACCGTGTGTGAGTGTGAATTTTCCGTAGGCTAGGTTAGGTTAACCTAATGCAAACCTCATAATACACTCTCCGCCTGTAGATCATAATAACATATTATAATAAAATATATTTTATTTCAATAATATTCAATATTATACGTTCAAATTGTTATATTCATCCGTAGCATGAATTAAATCACACTGTCACGCACTAATACAATATTTTGATTACGGTCGTAAATCATAACATTATGGTAATATTTCCAATAATAATAATAATACCTATAACATTCCTTTAAATTGTTTTGATTGTACCTACCTATCAGCAGTGTATAATAATATTATACGTACCGTTCCGGAAAAATAAATCCTCATACGATTAATGTCGCGGTCGTGCCGTTGTAATGCATTAATGCTTGCCCTATATATTATGACCCTGCGCAAATGGCATAGATAGTGTAATTTTATATTATTGTGGGTATTACGGATTGTTAAACCTACAGAACGCAATAACATTATATAACGACTATATCGCTACGACTCGTTCTCGACTAGGTCATTATGTGAGTGCACTCATGGCATTATAACAGGTAATATTATTATGTTCATGATTTGTGGGAGTAGGCGATCTCCTACGTCCTAATATCGTATCGCAAAGTTCATCCTAGAGTTATAATAATATTACGAAGTACGTGAGCAGGGCGGGATCTAAGCCTCGGGAGGCCTGGAAGAAACTCCTATGACATCGGAGGCATTTAAAAAAAGTACTATATTTATGCAAGTAATTTTATGCGATCGTTTTATTTTTTGTTGATAATATTAGATAAGAGTAAAAATGGATTTAAGAAAGAACATATATTTTCAACCATGTTTGTACCTTACCATTGCTCTTAATACGTGTTAATTTAAATCGAGAATCATGAGTAGAAACAAAACCGTGTCCATAACAGCTTAAAATAAACACCAACTAAACGGAAGAGGGTGTTTTCTTAAAATACTTTTTTTCTTGACCGTCATCAAAATATTATAAAATATTCTTAACAATATTTATCACTTTATAAAGTTCGAAAATCGACGACAACAACCTGAGGCACCTAAAACAAACTCGGCGCCTCTAAGCCCCGGCTCATTGAGCCCCCTACAAATTCATCACTATGTACGAGACGTGTCTGGAAAGTTTGCACAAACGCGTAAGTTGTACAGCGGTGTTTATTCGCTTATACGCGATAACAAGCTTGACGATCGAAGATAACACAAATATTCACTTAACCACAACAGTCTTCAAAATTATCAACCGTTAATCAAATCAAATTGATCATCGTGGAGTAATTTTATCGCAAGCCGTTATCATAATGCGGTACGACGTATGCGAGAACACCACTGTTCAAATCGACGAAGTCTCCAAACTTTGTGGGAAAATTACATTTTTGAATATTGTATAGGAATGTGGGTTAAGGATAGGCCCCTGACGTAAGTGAGTACGAGAAGGTAACGAATTTGATCATCTTGGTCAATTTTTTTCACGGTTTGACTGATCTAGATTTTTAACAACAATTTTTTATGAAAACTAAATCGTCAACCCGTAGTTATTTTAAATATGAATGCTTTAATATTATGACGTCTAAAATGCAATAAACGTGGCAGGTTAGGTTAGAAGTTTAAAGTTTAAAGGCATTTAAAGTTTAATAAGACAACTGTTATTGAATGGATACGTCTTGCCATCTTACCGTCATACTGTCAGCATTTTCTTGAAAATATTTATGTCTAGATTATGAGGTTTATGTTTGCTATGCATATACAAAAATTGGAAAATTTGCCAACTTATAGCAACTCGTATGATGAGTAGGTAAACGTGATGATCAAATGTAATACACGTTTAGTCAAGTATTTGTTTTTGGTTATTTTTATTACATAAAATATTATAATGACTGAACAGCACACACATGATTATTCACTTAACTAATAAATTATTTTAGCATGGCCCAAACTCGGCGGGAGATAGTATTATGGTTACAATTAGAGTCCAAACTTTATAAAAAATACTGGTACTAAATAATATGTACGGTGCAGTTATGTGCTTAATTCCCCCCCCCCCAAAATATGTATTACAGGTTGGTCTAGTACATAAAATTGTCACTTCTTGGTGGGTCACAAAAAGTGTTTTAATGTATTCATTACACACCAATATTAAATCCATTTATGAATTAATAAAGTGATAAGATATAATAATAGTAATCAAATTTTGTTTTTAGAACTTATTTTAAATCTTGTAAATAAACCATGTGGGTCACGATGGATTTTCGTGGATAAATTTGGTCCTAAAAAGGTTGAGGATCACTGATTTAGATGATAATAGTTATGTTTTTATCAGGGCTCGCCGTCACATAAATTGTTTATAATAATACATTTCTTGTGTTCTTGACATATTTTAAATATTTTTTACATAATATTATATTTTATATCGTAAATTGTCGGTTTATTTGCGAGTCAGAGTTGGATCTTCGATCTGTGTAGTAATATTACATATTAATATTATCGTGTGCGCAAAAGATTATTTTCCGGGCAGTTTGTGTATATATATATTGTATACCCACAACCGACTGCATAGAATATTATGTCAATTTATTATCATTATTTAATCAACAATAATAATATGTCGTGTGCATTTATGTCGTAAAAAAATTTACCCTGTGCTTTACACAGTGCGTGCAACCGATTTCACGATTTCAAAGAGGGAAATTGCAATTTTTTTCTCAACATTATTCAGTGGCATATCTCACACAAGCACACACACAATCATGTCTTTATGTATATTATGTATAACAGCACTTCTCTCTAATGCGCAGTGTGTGTGTACACGCAGCACCATCGTCATCGCACATTCACACA